GGCCCTGCCACAAGACTCTTGGAGATCGGTGCTCAATACAAGCTTGTAGGTGGACTGTGTACCATGGAAAACAGATGGTGCTCCAGATGTCGGTGGGGAGCCAGCACTTACCGATGCCCATGTGCCTGCCCTTCCGGCGGGCCAAGGTGTTCTTCCTGCATCGGGCACGGGAGTGAACGGTCACGGGTTTGCGGATGATCAGACCATCTTTAATCAATTTCCGGATCTGCTGACCTATGGAAAGAAACTCCATGTTCAACACCTTACGTGCAATGAGGACACATTAGGCAAGTACAGGCTCCCACCCCGCTTGTACGAAAAGGATCCAACGGAAAGGACGAGCCAGACCTTCCCCCAGAGCCCCCCCATGCTGCTGCAGTTGCTCTCTTCCCCTCCCATTTCTCCCTCACTAGTTGTCTTGGGGGACACCACGTACTAACACTACCAAGAACTCACCAGGCACCGCATCGCTGCGCTGGGGAGCTCTGTAAATCCTGGTGATGGGACTCACTTCCACCCTTAAGCGCAAAGGAGTTGCTCAAGCGTCAGAATTTTACCTAAGCCAACCTCATGGCTTTTTGACTAGCTCGGTAGCATCTTCCTGTATCCCTGACGCATCCCTTTTCCACAGCGCAGCACAAGTGATGCGTAGCACGGCCGCGTCCGTGAGAGAGGATTACTTACGCGAGTTGGCGTTGGCGATCTCATTGGTTTCGTTGGGATCCAGCCAGACCTTTTTTTTGCCGCAGCGCAGGACGCTGGAGGCCAGCCTCTTCTGGAGCCGGAGCATACTGCGGAGAACCACGCACACAGCTCAGCGCCAACGCTCGCTGCCGCGGCCGGACGCTGCTTTCGCGGGCCTGCAGGCCCAGGACAGCCCGCGGCGGGGCTGCTGGGGGCAGGCCGCGCTGCTGGAACAGCCAAGGGCCCGAGAGCAGCGAGGCCAGCCCCGCTCAGCGGTCCCCTCTCTCCCTCCGCACCCCTGGGGCTCCCCTCAGCGCGGGCCCCGACCGCCATTTCGCCCCCTCCCCAGCGTACGGCCCAACCGCCATTTTCCCCCGAGGCCTGAGGAGGCCGCAGCCGCCTCACCGGGCCCCGCGCCTCCCCGCACCACAGGCGGGGGGGGCGGGGCGAGGAGGAAGGGGCGGCGGGCCTGGCCGCGCCCACAAGCCAGCGCCCGGGGAGCGGCACGTACCACCCCGCTCCCGCCCCGCTCCGTCCCCGCGGCCGCGGTGCGGCCCGAAACGCGGCGAGAGAAGGACCGCGGTGGGGTTGCTGGTGGGGAGGACAGAAGGGGCGCCGGGGCCCACTCGGGACGTGGGAGAAGAGGCGAGTTTCCCTCTTGATCCCCCCCCCTCGCCGCGGGGTGGTACAGCCCGCGCCTGCGCGGCGGGCGGGGCCGGGCGGGCTCGGCGCATGCGCGGTGGCGTGGAGGAGGCGGCGGGCAGCACGTGGGTGAACTGGGGGGGAGTGTGGGGAGTACTGGGATGCACTGGGACGGAGCGGGGCTGGGGGTCGGGGCACGACCGGGGGCTGTGCAGGCAGGCAGGGGGGCTGCAGGGATCCCCCCCTCCCCGCCGGTGGGCAGCGCAGGCCCCAGCCCTGCCTGGCCCTGCCCTGGGCCTGGCCCTGCCCTGGCTGCAGGCCTCCCCTCACACCGGGGGCGGCGGGGGGTTGTCTGCCCCCAGCCCGGGTTCAGGCTCGTTGTTGGACCTGAGGAAACATGGGCGCAGGTTGTCCCTCCTTGCCCTCCCCGCCTGCCCAGGAAGCTGTAGGTTAGGAAGATTTTAACGTCAGATTTGTCACATTACTTTTCGTAGCAAGAAATGGGATCTCCGTTTCTCCAGCGTTTGTCTGCAGTCGTTCCTTGTTTCCCAAAAAGTCATCCTGAAGGGTGGTGTGAATGTCCAGAGGTTGGTGCAGGAGAGAGGCGAGCTGGGATCTCAGATCCGGCTTCACTTCCACAAGTGGATCAAGTTCCACCTCTTTCGCAGTCACCGGCTTACGATGATGCTTAGAAAAGGGAGGACTCACATTTTCCTGTGAAATAACCTCTTGACAGGGGTGGTAACAGCTGCAGTGAGGGCTGGTGTTTGCAAAGAGCGTTTTACCTTCCCAGCAATTTGCAATCGAAGGCACAAGTGAGGTCTGGATGTGTTGGTGGCAGCATTTGCAGTTGGAAAACTGAGGCACGGACAGACTCCCCCAGCCAGAATCGCCTCCCCAGAAAATGCTGTAGTGAGGCTCGGAATGGGCCCGGTGGCAAGTGCTGTCCTTCGTGTCGGAGAAACGACCCAGAAAAGTGCTGGAGCTTCTCCAGGAACAGATGGGTGAAGAGTTCCTGGAAGCAGGGAAAGCTTGCAGAATGATAATGTATAGATTGTAACTGGCCTAAAAACACAGGGGTTTCTCCCTGACTGAATTCCCGCTTTAAAGCAAACTTGTCCAGCAAAAATATTGCTTTTTAACCACTCCGATGCTAAATAGCGCCAAAATTCATCGTTTTGCAGTGATTCTTTTCCCTCCTTCCTTCCAACTGCTGAAGGTTGGGAGTGGTTGGAGAGTGAAAGCCCCCAAAGGCGCCTTGTTAAACACCCAAGACAAGATGCTAACGGTTCCTTTTGAATCTGGCGGCCGTAGCACAGTCAACATATGGCGTGACAAGAGGAGCCGATGGCAACAGATTTTTGGTTCATTTTGAGAGAAAAACACAGATAAACACAGGCTTTTGCTGTTTAAAAACTGACTCATCATTTTCATAAAACAAACAGCGAAATCTGGAGGCTCCTGAGACAGGAGAGTGGCTGAGTTTTAATTACCGGCCCGGGAGCGGCTCTGGGGTTTTACCGCTGGAAATCGATGTCCCGTAAAGCTTTTGGCCAGTTGCGTGGGCTGGAGACAGGAGATGGCATGTGGGACACAGGGGCACGCGTGTCCCTGAGCCCTATGGAAGTGTCACCTTGTGCTCCATGCTTTCCCGGGGAGCAGGGATGAAGAGACCGATCTGGCCCCAAATTCGAGGAGAGGTTTCAGCCCAGGTAGGGATGCTGCTGGTTGTGCCCAAGCCCCTCCAGAGAGGTCCGGGAAGGTCTGCCATCCCTCCTCCGCCTGCTCCGTTGCATCCTGCACTGGACGGGCATGTCTGTAGCTCTGTTCCTGCCCAGCTTGCTTGTGGTCGCAGCAGCGGGCAGGGGCAGAGCAGGCACCCCGGTGAGCTCCCGTGAGGGAGCGCAGGCAGCAGCGGGGGGGAGACCCGGGGAGCGGAGCAGCTCCGGCAGCGGGAAGGGAGAGATGCCGTAATTGCGTTACGCTCCCACGCAGCTGCCTGGGAATGGTGCGCTTGCCCTCCGCCTCCGGGCAGGCTCCCTGGTGGCAGGGCCCCCGCCGCCTCTGCCCTGGCACCTGGCTCTGCCTCCCCAAAACACCCTCGCCACCACCCTCTGCTCCCTCCACAGACCCTCCGGGGGCTTCAGCTCCTGCATCGGCCACATGGCCCAGGCCTGGGCAAGGTGGGCAAAGCAGGAGACGGGCAGGCTTTGGCATGGGGGGTCAATGAAGTCCCAACACCTGGAGCTTGGCCAGGCACAAGGCGCAGAGCTGGGCTTTGGGGTTGTGTCCCGGGGTCGGTGGTGCCAGCCTGCGTGACCTTGGGCAGCTCACCCCCCTCCAAACCTCCCTGTCCCACCTGCCGGCTGCCACGAAGCGTGTGTCGGTGCCGTCATAGGCACCTTACGGTGCCGGTGATGGATGGGCGCTAATAATGGAAAATGTGGCGTCAGCTGTCCCGCTTCCCCAGGCACATTGTCCTGCAGCTGCGGGAGCTGGGACTGGAGCAGGAAAAGTCCCGCTGGCGTGGGGTGAGGGGTTCCCAAGGAATTTTTAACTTTCCAACAGCCGGCAGCAGCGGCTCCTGCGGTGCAGTTGACATGAGATGAGTGTGGGAGGTCTCAGCCTGGTCCTGCCTGGGGAGGAGGCGATCACCCCAGCACCGGTGGGCTCCCTGGGGAGGGGGCAGGGGCAAGCTGCGTCCTGCGTGGCACATGCTGCCTGCAGCCCTCGCCCGCCCGCAGACGTGGTCTGCCCCTTGCACCCACTGGCGTGAGGAGGCAGGGACGGTGCTGGGGTCCCTGCAGGGCAGCTGCAGCCGTGCTGGGGGCCGGTGGGTGCCAAGTGCAGCCCCTTCCCCAACTACACATGGGGTCCACTGTCCCCAGGCATCCCCCCATTGCTGTGGGGTCCCCGGGGTGCCCTTTCCCTGGATGCTTCGCACGGGGTGTGGAGATGGCTCTGTGTGCGGGCATGGATGCCCCTGGGGAGCAGAGGGGCTCGGGGGGGCGTGGGTCACTCTGAGGCTGCGGGGACCCCAGCTGGGGAGGGTCTGGGGGGAGAAGCTGGAGGTTTAGGGGCAGCCTTGTCCTGAGGGAGCCCCGGGTTCCCCAGACTGTGGCACATCTCGCTCTGGGTGCTGACGTTTGGGGATGGGGGCACGGCTGCCCCTGCATTTCCCCCCCCAAGCCACACAACAGCCTGGGGGCCCTGCGTCCCCCCGTCTCTTTTTGGGGTCCCCCCCCAGCAAGCAAGTCTGCTCCAGGCTAAAGGCTGGGTGTACAAGCTGCGGTGGGCACCACTGTGCCCCCCCCAATTTGGGGAGGGGGGGATCCGCATCACCCCCTCATTTTTCCCCCAGGGGAAGGAGCCGTTTTGGGGGTGCCCTCCCTGGGAAGGGAGAGGGGGGGCCGCATCCCTGCATCCCGCATCCCTCCCGGGAACGCGGTGGGAGCGGCCGAGGCGGAGGCGGCCGCCCGCCATCCCTCGTCCCCCCCTGCCGCCGTCCCTACTCCTCCTTCCTCCTTCTCCTCCTCCTCCTCTCGCTCTCGCTGCACGCCGGGGCCGCCGTCACCGTCAGGGGCCAGCCCGGCGGAGGCCAGGCCTGGGTTCCATCGTCATCGTCATCGTCTTGTCCCTGTGCGTGTGTGTCCCCGCCGACCCCGGCGAGCTCCATGGTGCGGGAAGGCGGCATGGCCCGTACCCCTTACAGCTCCACGCAGGACATCCAGATGGACGTCTTTGACAACGCCGCCCTCCAGGTGACACCCCCGGGAATTTGGGGATGAGGGGTTGCGGGGGGGCTGCATCGGTGCCATCGCTCACAGCCCCAGGGTGCGTGAGGGGGGGCTCACCCCATCAATTCCGCCTGTCCCAACCCCTACACCCCATAACGGGGGGGATTTCACCCCCCAGCATGCAAAACAGGGTGCCCCCCCCCCAAGCTATCCCAGGAGGGACCCCAAATGCAGTCACCCCCCCTTCCTCATAACACCAAGCATCCCAGGGAAGGGGGTGTCCAGCCCCCAGGTTTGGGGAGTGCATGGAGGGGGGGGCTCTGTGCTGCTTGCTGTGTCACTGCTCCCCCCCCCACACACCCCCTCTGGGGTTTGCCCACCCGGAGCACCCTGGGGTGGGGAGGTGGGTGTGGGGGGTGTCGTGCGCACTGGGAAACTTTTAGGAATTGGGAAAACTCCACCAGGGTGGTGCCCCCCTACCCTTGTCCCCTTCACCCTGGGGGGACACACGGGGAAGGGATGTGTCCTGGTCCTAATGGGGTGGGGGGCACCACGGGCCAGTGGAGCACCTCATCTCCGTGGTCTGGCTGGGTGCTGTCCCCACCCCGCACACCCCCATGGGGACAGACCCCCCCTCCGTGGCAGCCTGGGGAGCATCAACCAGTTGGGGTGACAGTTTTGGGGGGGGGGCAGGATGGAGACACAGGCCCTGGCCACATCCAGCCGCCCGGGTGCTGGCAGGGCTGGGGGGCTTTCCCCGCTATGGGGGGGGGGGGGGGGGTGGGGCCAGGGCTGGGGGCTGGGGCGAAGGACCTAAAAATACCCGGTGCTGCCCGGTGCGGGGACCACCCATCCCTGGGCTGGGTGGCAGCTGGGCCCAGCTGTCCCTCCGAGACGCCGGGGAGGTGACAGCCCCGCTCGCCCCGGCATGTCCCAGCCTCTTGCTCCCCCAGGACACCCCCGCAGCGTGCTCTGGTACCCCCCCCCACCCCGAGGAGGTGCTGCAGGGGCGGCACTGGGGCATCCCCATCTCCTCCAGTCCATCCCAGTAGGAGGCACTGGAGGAAGCAGGGGGTCCCAAGGGGGTGCGGGGTGGGTGCCGGCTGGCGCGGTGGGCGTGCGGGTGCACACATGTGCACCCCTTTACACGGAGCGTGCATGGGCGAGGGGATGGTGCCCATGCCAGGGGGTCGGGGTGTGCACACGTGTGTGCGGGGCTCGGGCACCGGGGTGGCAGCATGGGGACGCGGGTGTGCGTGGGGTGCCCCCACAGCAGCCGCCTCCCCAGGGGCACGGGTTGGGCTCTGGTTTGGCTGGGGCTGGGGGGGCCGCGGTGTTTGGGGGCTGCAGCCAGGCTGTCCCCCAAATCTGGTCAGCCCCACTGGCTCCCTCTCCTCTCCATGAAGATCGGAGATCCAGCCCCCCCCGGATAAGGCGATGCCGGGTCCCTGGGGAGGGGGCTGCATGGCCCCTTAGCAGGGGGGCAGCCCCTTCCCCTTCTCTGCCTCAGTTTCCCTTCTCTTGTTCTCCAGGAGCTGGGGGTGGAGGGTGATGGAGCATCTGGGGGGCAGCTGGGGCTGGGGGGGCAGAGCTGCCCCCCATGTCCTGGGGCTCCAGCGCTCCCCTCCTGCCCCCCTCTTCTCTCCCCAGGGCAAGTACAGCAAGCGCAAGAGCCGTTTCAAGCGCTCAGACGGCAGCACCTCATCCGACACCACCTCCAACAGCTTCGTCCGGCAGGTGAGTGGTGGGGGGGACAGCTGTCCTGGGGGGTCCCGGGGGACCTGCCTGCCTGGGGGGGCCCTTGTCCCGCCAGGGACTGAGGAGGGGGACCGGGTTTGCAACCGAGCCTGGCCTGGGGGGAGTGCGGGCATTGCAATGGCTGAGCCAGACCCGGCTGTACCCGCGTCCCCGCTCTGCCCTGCGCTGGGTGCTGGGGGGAGTCGTCGTCCCCATATTTGGGGTCCTGTAGCCCCCCCCCCCAGGGTCCCTGCCCCTCCTGGGGGTACAAGGCAGGGGCTGCAGCCCTGGCATTGCCCGGCTGGCATCAAAGCTGCCCTCCCAAGCCCCATCCACCCGGCAGGGCTGCTGGCTTGGCAGC